AGAAGTTAGAGGGTTGACATGTTGTGGGTTTGTTAACCAATGTCATAAAATAATATGTGTACTACTGTTTCATGAGAAACTATTTGTTCTGTAAGCCTTCATCTGAATGAAAAAAAAAAAAGAACGGGGGAGGCCTCTGGTTTTAAGAAAAATGCTACTGAATCATAGGCTGGCAGGGAGACTGAAGTTACTGAGGTGATGCGAACCTGTCTATCGTGTTGTTGTTGTTGTTAGCTGCCTCTGAGTCAGCCCTTGACTCATGGCGACCCCTATGGACCCTTATAATCCAGGGTTTTCACTGGCTGATTTTCAGAAGTAGATAGCCAGGCCTTTCTTCCTAGTCCATTTTAGTCTGGAAGCTCTGCTAAAACCTGTTCAGCATCGTACCAACACACAAGCCTGCACTGACAGATGGGTGGTGGTTCAACTGACCGAGAACTGAACCCGGGTCTCCTGCGTGGAAGGTGAGAATTCTACCACTGAACCAGCACTGCCCCCATTGCCTAATCAAAACGATGGCAGATATGAGAAGGTAAAAAGAGGGCACGGAGGTGGAGTAGTGAGGGTCAGGGACATACTCAGCTCCTTCACGCAGTCATTGACCAGCTGCTGCTCCTTCTCCTCATAGGTGATGGTCTCTGTCTTCAGCTGGCAGGCCTGTGAACAAGGCTTAGGTCAGAGGTCAGCATTCACACCTGGACTGTTGGGGTGGGCAAGGGCTGGGGCATGGAGCAAGGGTTAACCAGGATCTGGGAAGCTTTCCTTCAGCATCTCCCCATCTGTCACCTACTGCACCCTCAAATATGGAAGGTCAACCCAAATTCCTAATTAGTTAATGGATCTTGGATTCTGAAATCTGAAAAGCTAAAAAAAAAAAACCAAAAAAAAAAAACAGGTTTACCACTAGAGGGTGCAAGACAAAGCAAAGTGCTCAAGAGCCATACATGCTGCTTTGTTAAAACTCAGTGTCACCACTGAAATGTTCATCAATTTGTCTAGCTATCCATTTGCATCTGTCCTGGCTCAAAGATATGGGCTCCTTTGCATCCCTAGCAATGCCCAGGACACTGCTCTGGCATTCGAAGGATAACAACAAGGATGGCTAACATTTATCATGCACTTACTATGGGCCAGGTTCTGAGTTCGAGTTAAACCTGTTGTATTCTTACCTTGTAAGAACAAGGTACAACGTGAAATATCAAAATTCAGAGACCTAAGGCCTACCTCAGGACTCTGGAGCACTTGCTCCCCATGGGTAAGGTGGGAAGACAGAAACCTGAAGGCCCCAAGACAATGCCCCGGCCAGAGAGAAGGTGGCTGTGAGTCCCCTGGGTCCTGGCCCCAGAGGGAGACTCCTGAAAACAGAGCTGGAGCAGCCACAATTAGATTCTCTTGGCTGGCTTTAGCTGAAGATTCTGACAGAAGGACAATCCGCCGTGTGCCTAGGACTGGGGTGGAAGCCAGAGTGGGCAGCACTGGACTCAGCATGGGAAGCACAGGGCTATAATCTTTGGCCATGCTCTCGGCTGCTGTGGATTTATGCCTCCCACCAGTAAACAAAGGTGAGGTCTAAGAGAACATGGCCCTTCCCTCAAACAGAAGACAGTCTTGCTAAGCCCAGACAGGAGGCTCTCTATAACATGTAGTCAAGTTCAAGGTGAGAGGTGCTATGCCCTACCGGAGGAGCTCTGGGGAGCCCGGGCCAGCTTACTTGGGCACACAGCCCAAACCTGACAAACACGGGCCTGATAAACAGGGCTGCACCACACCTTTGGCTAGAGAGCATAAACCCACTGATAATTTGGACAAACGCTGCCAAGTTTCTAAATAGCGGCAGCAGATAAAGGAGAAAATGTGGAGTTAGGAGTCACAGAGACTTACGTACCCTGCTTTGTCACTTACTACCTTGCATGACCTTGGAAAAGAACAACACCTAGCAGCCTGGGTCCCCGCTTTCTCACTGTAAGATGATAAAGTCATTAGCTTTCAGCCTTGTTATGAAGAATTAAAAACTAGTATAGGCAAAGTAGCTGGCACAACTCTAAAGCACAAGTTCCCAAGTTGTCTCAGCTCAGCGTAAACTGTTTAAGAACTGTCTCCATGTTCTCATAAACTATTTCCTTAGAGCCTATGATTTGATCAGCAGTAACGTGAAAACAAGGCGCTCACACCAAGCCTCCAAGTCATTTCTCCTCAGGCGCTTTGTTACAGCTGAAGAACACCAGGGAGGGGCCTCACAGAGGGAGCCTTTCCCCTAACTCTCATGGAGGAGAAAGGCATTCTTGACTTATGGCACACTGTAATTCCACCATGGCTGTCCATCCCAGCCCAGACTGGAATGGTTGTACTTTGAAGGCAATGCCCAGTACAAGCATGAGGTACACCTGCTGAGCACTTGGTGCAGCTGTGAGTTAAGGTTCAGGTGGCTGGCTCTTCCAGAGACTATCCCTCTGATGATGACATATTAACCACGGCTATTCTTGCCAGATAAGGCCAATGGAGCCGCCACCCTTCCAGAGCAGCCAAGAGGGAATGCACTCACCTCTGATCGAAGCACGACGTTCTCCTCTTCAAGGTCCTTCAGCTTCTTCTGAAGAGAATCCAGATGAAAGTAGTTCTGGACTGAGGAGGATGACTCATTCCTCTTCAGCCTAGGGGAGGGGGTATGATCACAGTCCAGGGAGGGACACTTCCTCCCACCGCCTGGCATACTACACGGCAGGCACAAAGAAGGGCTGTTTCAAGGAAAGTTCACAAAACTTTGGGGCATGACAGTGGCCCATCAGATCGCCCCCTGCCCAAGAAAACAATGCGTATGCCCAGGATTGCCACCACTTCAGGGCCACCTCCCAACCCTCTGTCCACAGTTTGCAGCTGACATATCACCTCGTGAGAATGGACTCTATTTGGCATCTACAGAATTCCAGTATGTCCGGGCACTTATTTAATATTTATAATGAATTTCCATATGCCTAAAACTGTTTGAAGTACTTTCCATGTATTAACTCACACAATCCTTGTAACCCTATGATGTAAGTACTATTATCATCCCCTCTTTACAAACGAGGAAACAAACACAGAGAGGTTAAGTAACTCAGCCAAGGGCACAAAGCTAGTAAGTCATAGAGCCGAGATCTGAAGCTAGGCCATTTTGGGCTCTGGAATTCATGCTTGTAACATCAAGCTCTGCTGATTTACAGAGACGGTCCCACCCCTTCTGTCCCAAGGACCCACCCTGACATTGCTGACCCCAAAACCTTGTACAGTAGAACCTGCGAAAGCTGGAACTGTCTCACTGTAAGATGACAATCAAAGTAACCTGTGTAAGGTGGAAACCTGTCAGAGAAGGAAAATGCAAATATTTTCCAATGAATAGAGAGCCAGGGAAAAATGACAAGACTGCACCTGTCAAGGGTGGAAAACTTGCGAGACCCAGAAAAACAAGGCAGTCCTATCAAGTTCCAGCTCTCACAGGTTTCACCGTATCTCCTCCAGCAGCAGAGCCCACCCTGTTACCCGCCAACGTCCCAGGCCAAATCAAGTTCCGTGACACCCACACTCTTAAACCTAAACCGACAAATAAGCAGTAAGACCCAGTAAGAGGAAAACTAAACGTGAGTCCTTCCATATCCCACTCAAACAGGACAATCAATCTGTTTGAGGCACTTGGAGATGCTCTGTCAGAAGGCTAGCCTGCACTGCTGGCGAGGGTGGCCCTGCCTCGGGGACTCTGAGGACAACAGCCAGCCTGCAGAGACACAGCCCGCCAGTGACTTACGGGGTCGAGCAGACAGACTCGGGCTCGCTCTCCTCGGCAGCACTGGTATAGAACTGCAGCAGCTCATCCTTCATGGACAGCTCGTGCCGAAGCTGAGACACCTGCAGACAGAGCCCCGGGCCGTCATTCCTGCTCACACAATTACTGCTCAGTGACAAGTATGTTTAAATCCCCCAAATCAAAGGGAAGGCATTTCGTTGGTTTTGCACCATTCAAAGAGAACAAAGGGTTGAGTTTGATCCCACTTAAGAAAAAAACAATCAATTGCTTTGTGGCAGAAACTCCCCTGCCTAAACTGATAATTTTTACTTTGGTATAGAGAAGAGATGAGAAGGGACTAGAAGGGTCTAGAATGATGGCTGGGTGGATGACTTACAGACTTTGGAAGTAACCAGATGACCAGGCTGGGCAAACAGCAAGTGGAATGGATCAAGTTACCAAATGAAAGAAGAGGCCACCCACTTTTGCAGAAACCAGATTCTACCTCGGAACACGATCCTGGCAATGCCAGCTCTGGCTGGGCAACTACAACCAGCTCATCAACTCTGGGTCTCATACCTGGAAAACCTCACTGCCCCACACTGTAACTCATGACTCCTCGTGGGACTCCCAGTCAGGCCAGTCAGACCCTGCGTTGTACTCAATGATCCCCAGGCTAGGAATTTCAGACACAGGATGTAAAGAGGAGTCATCAAGGACTGGTCATACTGACTAGGACCGTTTTAAAACCTCACTTAAAGTTTAAAACAAACTTGTGCTGTAAAAACCTTCTCTTGCCCTTTTACCATGCAGTGTTGATGAATATGGGACCAGTGCTGTAAGTGAGTATTTCAATTCTATTTTAATTCTTTCTTGTTTTTAATTAGATTTGGGGGGAGGGTGTCTGTGGTTTATTCCAACTTTCCTACACAACACAGTGAATGTATTATGTCTTCTATGGAGAAGACACTTACTATCTCACATTTATCCGACATTTCGCATTTACAATAGTAAAACAATAGTAAAAAATCTACTATCTGACTATTTTGTGCATTAATGACGTACGTCTGGCAGTAATGAATGCCAAGGCGCAAGGCGAGAGTAACGCTGGCTATGAGAGTTAAGGTTATGTGTCAACTTGGCTGAGCCATGATTCTCAGTGGTTTGACAGTTATGTAATGATGTAATCTGGCAGTTATGTAATGATATAGTCAGCCTCCATTTTGTGATCTGATGAGGTCATCCTCCATTTTCGCATAATGCCGATTTTCGCATAACAACCTGGTCTTTGGAACCTAACCACGTCGGTAAGTGAGGAGTGGCTGTATTAAATGCATAAAGGATTTAGATTCAACACATAGACTGATAATTTAAAGATGGACCAAAAGAAACCACAATTTTCAAATTCAACTCTTTTAAGGGAAAGAGCAGGATATTCTTCGTGTGAAGCAAGGAAGCCCCAAGCAGGAGCAGTGACATGGAGGGCAGCATCTGAAGGCCAATTTGCTGGTTTCCAGGTGGCATTTCCTGCTGGAAGGGGCTGCAAAGGGAGCCAGGCTAACCTGGAGTACTTCAATGCCAGTTGCCTGAGAGAGGAGGAATTCAGGTTATCATGCGGGGGCAGGAAAACCAGGAGTCAATGTTATTTCTCCTAGAATGCAACAGTACTCCACCTCACCATCTTTTAAAGAAAGCCTGGGATTGTGACTTTTCTTATAGAGTGACAACTCTGTTTCATCACGTTTAAGCTATCACAAAGCCCAGACAACAACGTACTAGGACTAGCTTTAATAAGGAAAAAGTCTGAATACATCTTAGGGAATGAATAATGTCATCTGCTCTAAGAAAGTTTCTGGCAGAAAATTAAGGGAGAAGAAACAAGAATAAGGTAATCAGATCCAAGTCCCCACAATTAAAACTCACTATTAAAAGAACACAGGATGATAGGAAAGAAGCTACAAGGCGGGGCCTGGTTCCAAGCTTCTAATCCTTTTTTCTAGCAACCCTATCTGACTCTATAGCTGCCTTCCTCTTGTCCAAATCACAACCCTTCCAGACATCCAGTATTGCTCTTGCTAAACTTAGGTTCCCTGAAGAAAAGCCTGAAAGTTCCATGCCCCTCCTCTTTTTATGACTGATACCTCGCCAGCCAAGATTTGCATCATGAAATCTCAATAATAATGTTTCTATCATGAAAAATGATAGGCTATTTTTTATTCTTCTGGAAACACAAAATCATACTGTAATGAATATGCAATCATCACTTCACTCGGCAGCATGAGTCCATCTCCTAAAAGGACTCCTTCTCCAGCCTGCCCGTCCCTACCCTGACTCATGAACCCCCGTCTCACTGTTGTAGTCACCTGTGTACACAGGTGAATTCTTGCCAAGCACTGAGTGTCTTCATCAGCCCACACAATTAGATTCTGGACACTGGGAGGACACCTGTGGCTGGACCAACACACCCAGGCCAGCCTGTGTGACGGGCCACTGTGTGCCTATTAACTAAGTGACGGTCTTTCTTGCCCTCAGCAATCCTGTCCATTCTGTCTGAATGGGAGGAGGGAGGCACATTAAGTAGAACGAATTGCAAGAAATCACTTTTGATCTCCAAGGTGGGCCAACTTCAGAGCTGACAGCTCGGAGCTCAGGACTCAGTGTTCCCTTGGGAGAGCCACTTCAACTGGAACCCCGTTATATCATCATCTTCAAGCATACCCACGGCTCCCAAGACCACAGCAGGGCCCCCACGAGTCTTTGCCACAGGTTTCTTACCTCCTCCCGGATGTGTTCAACTTGCTCTTCCAGCAGCTCGTTCCTCTCGGTTAGCGTTTTGTTCTTCTTCAACAATGACTGGCCGATCCGAGCAGCCAATTCTAAATCCCGCTCTTTCTATGAAACGCAAAACAGAGAGGGCATGGATTCAAAAAACCCGTGCTTCCTGGAGGAGCCAACGAGTGCTCAGTGTCAAATGAGGAAAAGAAAACAAAGGCATTTAGAAATAACAAAGGACTTAATAATTCACCATCCAACCATCCCCTCAAGTCACCTTTCAGCCAAACAGCAGGCTAGCTCATAAAGTAATGAATATCACCCTTGAGTACTGTGCTCTTTTAAAAAGTCATCTATATGAAACCAAATGGGCAGCAAAAAACTCTAAAGCATAGACGAGAAGGTAGGGAGTAGGGAGATTAGGGTATTGGAAATGGAACAACTGGAACGGAAATAATCAGAAAGTTGACATAATGTGAAGAATGTAATCAATGTTACTGAAAAATATGCGTAGAAATTGTTGAATGGGAACTTATTTTGCTGTGTACGTTTTCACCAAAAATACCTAAAAACATATTAATTCACCATCCATGTCAGCACGTGATACCCATTAAAAGAGGAATAAGAGTAAGCTTTTGCCCACAGAATGCAATGGACCTCAAGCAATGAACAGGAAGCCTTAACATCTAATTAATATACATGCTACAACATGGGTGAACCCTGAAAACATTAAGCTCAGCGAAATAAGTCACAAAAGGACAAATATTGTATGATCTCACTTATGTGAAATATGTAGAATAGGCACATGAATAGAGACCAAAGCGTATTCATGGTTACTAGGGGCAGGCAGGAGGGCTCACTGCTTAGGGGACTCTGAACTTTTGTTAACGGTGATAGAAAAATCTGGAAACAATTAGTGGTGATGGTTGAATAACATGATAAACATAATGTCACTGAATTGTACATGTGAAGAATGTTGAAATGGCAAATGTTTTTTACATATATTTACCACACCTAAAAAAAAAAATCTAATGAAAACAAATTTGTTCCTACAGGGAAAAAAATGCTTTCAAAAAAGTTTCCTTGCAAGAGTTTTTGGTATCTGTGTATTTGGTAACTCACATGCTATCGCTCCACCTGAGGGACAGGTTATTGGTTCCTCACGGCCCACACGTGGACATACTCAGTAACTGTATGTTGAGTGAATGAATGCATAGATGGCTGAATGAATGAATACAGAAATTCTAAAATGCTCATACAATAAAGCCAAGAGCTGACACAGGGATGCCACCTATTTAGCACACATTAAGCTCAAATTTACACTGTTCCTTATTTTTACCTCATATGAAACAAAAATGTTCAAAGTTACTCTGAAATACAATTACATGGGGTTTGTTTATTTTATTTGTGGAAGATTACTTAGGCTTTGTTTAAAAAAAAAAACTGTTATAAGAGAGAGATAATGCATAAAATTGTCACACTTCAGGGCCAAAGACAGTGTTAAGGACCCAGAATTCCCTGTGAGTTCAGCTGATGACATCATTTAGAGCAGAGTGGTACATAGAGGAAAAGCCTTAGTGGTATACGAAGGTATGAACGCCTTCAGGAAGGAAAGATGTTCCCTGACAGTGGAGGCAAGAACAGACACCATCACCAAATGCAGACTTATCAATTTCTCCAGAGCGACTCTGCCGCTGGTTAGATTCAACCACTCACTTCTAGGTGGAGGTGTGAGAGGGGAGGAAAGCTCTGGGAAAAGAAATTGCTTTAGAAGTCTATACTAATTATTCTCTTCACCTGGGGTAAAAAGCAGACGAATGGGAACGTGCAGTTTAGGGTTGGAAAAAAGCTGGGAGGAGTCTCAGGTTCCGATTCTACACCGTCAGTTACTACCACTGGCCTGGGGTAAATGGCTTCAGCTGAACAAAAATCAGGCAACTCTAGTTTTTTTCAGCCCAAAACCAAAAATCCAAAACCGGTGCCACTGAGTCAATGTCAACTCATAGCGACCCTACATGACAGAGTAGAACTGCTCCATAGAGTTTCCAAGGAGCAGCTGGCAGACTCGAACTTCCGACCTTCTGGTTAGCAGCGAGCTCTTTTTCAAACCACAGGTTAAACAGTCCAGTAATGAGTTAAGAAGTCATTTTAATGACAACGGACATTTTGATTTAAATGAAATACAACAGCATAGAATTTAAAATGTCAAAGTGTATGCGATGGTTAAGATTGTGTGTCAACTTGGCTGGGCCATGATCAGTGTTTTAATGTAATCACTCCCATGATTGAATATACTGTGAGTAGCCAATCAGATGAAAGGGAGTCTCCTTGGGGGTGTGGCCCACATCTCTATATAAGCAGACCTTCTGGCTTCTTGCTCTCTCTAGATCCTGCGGCTGCTTCCTGTCGTCTCATCTCCTGTTCCTGGGACTTGAGCTATCAGCTTATCTGCCGAACCTGGGATTCGTTGATCTGCACAGCCTGTAAGCGGGAGCCCTGCTCTCGGACCTGCTGATCTTGGGCTTGCCAGCTTCTGCAGCTGTGTGACTTGGGAGAGGCCTCTACCCTGATCCACGGACTTGGGACGTTCTAGCCTCTACAATCACGTGAGCTGTTTCTTTGATATAATCTCTCTCGATATATATATATTTATACACTTTACTGGTTTTGCTTCTCTAGAGAACCCTGTCTAAGACAGTGTATCACACATAATATGGGTTTAAGTATTTTTTCATGTTTCAACTTCTGCTTGTCAAATATTTACATACGCACTTATGTGAGTACTGGGTCACAATCCAAGATGCGTTTCTTACAGCAAGTCATGGTCAACAAGTTTAACTGCTCCAGTTGAACCATCCTACTCTAAAACTGTGAGAATCTGGGTTCTATTTGAACAACCCTGGGACCCAGTGCCCTCATCTATTAAATGCAGTAGGGTGGAGGGGCAGGCTAGCTGAGATACCTTTGAAAAAAAATCTTCTAGCTTTATGATTCATTGAGCTGTATGGGAAAAAAAATAAGCAGCCTTTATTTCTAACTTCTTACATATCCACCAAATCATTCCACAGGACAGCAGCGCACCTTTCTTTGCGAACCAAAGTAATGTGACCGAATTACTAGCAAATTGGAGCCCTGGTGGCAGAGTGGTTAAGAGCTCGGCTGCTAACCAAAAGGTCTGCAATTCGAATCCACCAGCCACTCCTTGGAAACCCTATGGGGCAGTTCTACTGTGTCCTACAGGGTCGCTATGAGTCGGAATTGACTCAACAGCAATGGGTTTGGGTTTTTTTTTGCGGGGGGGAGGGTACTGGCAAAGCACTTGAGGTGAAAGTATAGGTTGGGAAGACTGATTTGACAGAGATCTGGCTCCCTCTTGCATGGATGATGATCTCTCTACTCTAGGGCTTCCACAGTCCCCAACAGGTAACCACTGTCCCTGAAGCCGGCCAGGTATCATGTTCAGTGAGCCGTACATAGCCCCAACTCATTCCCACAAGCTATGCCCTCACCTCCCACAAATACGGTAGGTACGGAGAGGGCCCTTGCAGGGAACAAAGCGGATCAGTGACTCTGCCAACTCAACCAGGAGGCGCATCTCTGCATATTTACCCTCGCTGGAAACAGTCTCTATAAGAAGCGTTCTTATCTCAGTGGCCCTTTATAACTTCTCAGGCTCAATAAAACAAACCAAATCCACTGCTATCAAGTAGATTCTGACTCATAATGACCCCATAGATTTTCCAAGGCTGTGAATCTCAATGGAAGCAGACTGCCACATCTTTCTCCAACAGAGAAGCTGGTGGTTTCGAATCACTGACTTTTCAGTTAGCAGTCAATCACTTTAACCACTGTCCACCAGGGCTCCTTTTAGGCTCAACAGTTGAGCTTATTTGGTTCCTGGAGGAAAGTGATCCAAAGGAAGTATGCAAGAACATTTGAACACCTGCCTTTCCAGGTTCCACTCACAATTACATCCAGTCCAAGTGGCTACAGCCGGCTAACCCTTTGTTAACACTGCAACATCAACATCCACTTCTCTGCCCAAGTGTGTTCTCCAAAAATTGAACCTAAGTCTACAAAATTTCTCTCCAGAACAAGTTCTCAGACTGAAAACTCAATAGATGTTCGATGCTCACTGGTTCAGTCACTACCTGCTCTGCCCCCACAGGTGTGACGAACATTGTTATCATGCAACCCAGTGGCTAAGTTCCAACAGAGACATCTGTATGCCTCAGCCACATTTTGTATGCACATTCCATTACAAACAAATCAAGCAAATACAACAATATTGAAGACCTGGCTGGGCAAGGCTTCCCGTTGTATACAAAAACCCAAGAGGAACATGAAACAGCAGAGGAAGAAAAACAAGTGGAGCAGAGAGCTCAGCAACGAAGCCCTTTATCCCTACATATTACACCCCAGGCCCAAGGGCTTCCTCACCTCTCCCTGCCCCACTGGCAGCATGGTGAGTTCTCACCTGGTCCACACTAAGCATTTAACCAAAAATCTAATCTTTATAGTAATTATAAAGAAAACTGTCAACTGGGAAAAAAGCAAGAAGTTATAACAGAAATATTTATGGATGAAATGAATAAAACAAGTTTTCACAGTGTCTTTGGTTTTTCTAAGTTTACTAAGGCAAGAGGCTGGTTGGGTTTCTCTTTGACAACTACAAGAATGAAAAAGTCTTTTCCATTTCTTACAACCAGCCAACATATGATAAATGTTCACCTCTAAAAATAGAAAACCACTAGGAAAAGACCATTAAATTAAACTACAATGAGAGTGTTTAGTTGCTGTCAAGCCAATTCCGACTCATGGTGACCCCATGTGTTACAAAGTAGAACTGCTTCATAGGGTTTTCTTGGCTGTAATCTTAATGGAAGCAGATTTCCAGGGCTTCCTTCTGTGGTACTGCTGGGGGGGTTCGAACTGCCAACCTTTCAGCTAGCAGTCAAGCACTTAATCGTTTGTGCCCTCCAAGGACTCCACGATGAGAATAAGAGACTCCAAATAAATCATTTAGGCTCTTGGATATAAGTTATTAAAAGAACTAGTTCCTTTATTCCCTGGGAAATGTGGAGTGGTGGAGCTCATTCTAACTCTGCTAGCTCGCTCTCCGAGGCTATGTGTTGCTTAAAGCGACTATCAGGTGCGTCTCAGCCCCTTTTTGCCAATGAAGACTTGTGCTGACTGACACCCACTAGAGACGGAGAACAGCCTGCCTCCCACGCTTAGTGGCTGACTCATCTCATTCACCAATTTCAGGATAAAAAGCATGACTAATGGGCCAGAGGAGGAGGCAAGCTGTGCCCAAAGGGAAATTCTGCACAACGGCAAGCCAGAAAAACCCAAGGAATCCTCTTCTCCTTAGAACCAGAAGCAAGCCTTCCACGCTGGTGAAGGGCTGTACTGGGTCATCCTGTGCAAATCCCGCCAGCACCCGCCTGTGTGCGGCAGGCATGCAAACCAAAGCCGATGGGCCGAGGAGATGGAATCGCTGCTAATGACAGATGCAGATACTGTCACATGATCAGTGCAGGCATGTCTGGGGTGGTTAGACTTTAACCAGGAAATCCACCCAGTTCCTAAGAAAGGCAGTAACTCAGATGGGATGCTTATCAGGACAAAGAAATGAAAAAGATACAGATACACACAAACCACTGCCATGATAAGCCTCTAAAAATAAACCAAACCAGGCCCAACAGAAAGGCACCTGAAGAAACTGCCTCTGCATGCTCCTTCCAGCAGCTCAATTTTTTTTAAAAAGAAGAGCGTATACTCTCTATACAACGACACTCATTTAGGAAATGAACTGGGAAAACAGAAATATTAATTAATAATCAGAGCTGTAAAAGGGTTCGAGTCCTCCGCTCCTTTGGAAGCAGTCCTCACACACCCACAAGGAGGAGCGGCTCATCCTGCTGCGGCACTACCAGCCCAAACTCAATGCCACCGAAATGAACAAGAAGTGGACACGTGCAAAGGCAACATGCTACGGAAAACATTACCTGGTTCATGTTTTTAAAGTAAAAATGTGCCATGAACAACCAACTAACCATACTGACAAACACTAAGTGGAGCAGTAAACACGATAACAAGCAACCAAGTCACACAGCACAACAGTTAAGGGCTTGGGCTGAAAAGCCACTGTGCGATCGTGGGCAAGTCTTCTGTCTTCTCAGATTGAGACACTTGGCTGCTAATCAAAAGGTCAGCGGTTCGAATCCACCAGATGCTCCATGGGAGAAAAGATTTGGTGATCTCCTCCCATAAGATTTCAGCCTAGAAAACCCTACGGGGCAGTTTAACTCTGTCATATAGGATCGCTATGAGTCGGAGTCCACTCCACGGCACCTAACAATATCAACAACAACTGTACAGTGGGGGAAAGAGTGACGTCTACTCCTGAGAGCTACTGTGAGAATTAATGAGATAATGCAGGTACAACACTTAGCTCCAAGTAAAATTTTACCCCAATACTAAGCATGATCATACAGGCATTTATTGAAGGCCTATTAGTTCCAAGGGTTAAACGGGAAAAAGAAATCATCTGACAAGGTCCCACCTTGGAAAGGCTTCTATTCAATCCAGCTGGATAGACAAATACCTTGTTCCGGGCTTGGTGGGGACACATATTACCTTGGGCCATGGTGACTGGGGACACTTCAAAGGGCCCCAGTGAGGACTGCAGCACAAGATTAAGAAGCCATGAGCGGTCAGAGGGACCAAATGGCACAAAAGGTCAAGGGTGGGAAAGCAGGAGGCTCGTCCCAGCAGTGAGAGGAGGGTTCGGGAACACCAACAAGGGTGTGGCCTTAAGTGGCACTGAGACAGACAATTACCAACTGATTTAGATTGTTTTAATCAATCTAAACTATAATCAATTATAAACAACTCCTTTCCCCAAAAATACTTACCTCCTCAAGAAGACGAGTAACAGCATCTATGTCATTGTATGTTTTAGTCATCTGGCCAACTCTTTCAGCACATAAAACTGGAAGAAATAAAGATAATAATGAAATTACCAAAGTCAAAAACCTGCCAAACAAATGATCCATCTAAAAAGGCAGCCCTAAGCGTGCCTACATGTCAGACACAACAGGTCACTGGTATTGCCGGAGTCAACTCCCACTGTACCCAAGCACCACTGGTTTTCATTTACAGTTACAGTGAGGAGCCCCAAGTTTCGGGGGAAGCATAGTTTCAACACCTGTGAAGCCCTGGCACCGTGTGTGTGTGTGTGTGTGTGTGTGTGTGCGTGCGCGTGCGTGTGCGTGTGCGCGTGCGCGTGCGTGTGCGCGTGCGCGCGCGTACGGGTGAGCATGCGCGCACATACCTGCATGTGAGTATATTTAGGGGTAGAGCTGAGGGCAAGGCACTACAGAGGAAAGGGGTCTGGCCTCACATTAAACTCCGCACACTGGAATGCACGGAGCAGGGTCAGCAGCACAGCATCAGAAAAGGCCTGCAGGATCTAGATCCTACTAACCATAGAGACCCAACCACATGGACAGAATGGGATCCTTCAGAAGGCAGCTATTGGTATAATTATTAAACAGCAGTTGTAAGCTGATAATTTCATAATGGCATAGTCCCCACCCACACCCCCAATGGCCTCAATTCTAAGGCTATGCAACTAGTTTCTATACCATGAAAACTAGGGCAACAGATATTTTTCAATTCACATCAAAAAGGTAACTATTACTGCTCTGTAAACCTTCATCTAAAGAACAGTAGAAAAATCTTTTTTAAAAAGATTGACTATTACTACTACACACACGCACACACACACACAGAGCAACATTTCATTGAATGTATAATATACTGTGGTCACAGAGGCTGCATAGAGGCCACATTACACTGTGTGTCTTTGTTCTCCTTCCACTGGAAAAAGGGGAAGTGCAACTAAAGAAGGCTTTAATCTGCTGGAAAATCTCAGGGTTGTTTTATTTTAAATCAATGGCAAGGAACAGATTTGCAGTTCAACAAACACCAAGAAGGAAGCATGGGTTGTATTCTATGGGGGAAGGAGTGAATGCAAATGGATTCAGTGCCAATGCATAAAATTTTTTTAAACCTGCCATTTTTAGGCTATATAATAACTTCTTAGTAATTCTTGGTAACTAAGTCTTCTAGACAATAACCCTGTAAGAGCTGAAGACTCAGTTCAGCTTTCGTAATGACCCATATTCAGCAACAGCTCACACAATGCATTTGGGAATTGAAGTGTATGACTAAGTCAAACTCAGTAGCATTACTAACCGCAGACTGCAACTGGAATTCAATAGGTCTCTAAATATTTTATTAAATCCAAGTAGAGATCATCCTAGTGAATGAGCTCATGGAAATCTGATCTGTTGGAATGATTTTCTAGCTTAAGGAGGAGACCTGAAATCTGGTTCCAAATCTGAAACCCTAGGGCTATTCCCAACGGAGCCGTGAGAGCCAGCCGAAGGGGCTCCTCTTTCCAGATCCTCCTACATGGATACTTTCCTTGCAGGAGGCCTCCTGCCCAAATTGTGGCTATCAGCTGGCTAGCTTCAACAAGTGTCTGAACCACACAGCCCCAGCACCTTCCCTCCCGTCACCTCTGACAGAGCTGCCAGGCAGGGAAAGGCAGTGAGATTTATAAGGGTCAGTTTAAACCAGAATCTAATTTGATGTAGATGGAGTCCAGTTCCAATCGGTCTAAACAGTTAATCAGCTCGAGGTCACAAGAAATTGTGCAAGTCTCCTTAAGTGAAGGTGCCTATGCCACCAAGAGGAAGTGGTGTCCATCCTGCACCAGCGTGCTGTTCAGCAACCATGTAGAGAGACACTGGGCCCCCTCCTGCCAACACACCTCAGTGAAAGCACCCCTGTTTCAGAAACCAGGAAACAGACCACAGGAGCTAATGAATGGCCTGTGTGTTTACATATTCTGACTCCAGTGGCTGCTAATGCTGACCTTGCTTTCCTTGAAGGACCAAGTCCTCTATTTTCCTTCGGAAAAAAAGAACCCCAGCTATATTTCAGCTAGTCTGGCTCTCCTTCACTCTAAAACATACGAGAATAAAATTCGAGACTGTTTTTTCTCTAGCACTGTATCAATCAAAGATTACACTTACGTTTTTAAAGCTAATTTTAAATTGAGAACCATGGTTATTCACGTAGTTTATCATTGTGTAGATAATCTCATGCAGTTGTGAGAAATGACACAGAGAGTTCCCATGTACCCTTTACCCAGTTTCCCCTGATGCAACTAATGTCACAAAGCAATTTGTGTATAAATTTCTGAATGAAAAACTAATCTGTGCTGTAAACGTTCACCTAAAACGCAATAAAACTGAAAAAAAGTTAGAGTGGAACATCACAACCAGGATTCTGACATTGACACCATCCACTGATCTTATTTAGATTTCCTCAGTTTCACTTGTATTCATTTGTGTGTGTGTGGGTGGGCGGGTGTGTGTGTGGGTGGGTGAGTTTGTGTGTGGGTGGGTGTGCTTGTATGAGGTTTTATACAATTTTTTTGCCTATTAGATTCCTGTAACCACCGCCACAAGGATCCGTCATGCTGCCTTTTCTGTAGAGCTAGTTTTAAAATACATTAACAATTAAAACCCAATAAAATGCACACTTGGGCCAGAGGTTTTTCTGGCATCCACCTGTCCAGCACATTTATCTTCACCATGCACGTAGTACCAGGAGGCTACTCATGCCCTTTCACATCCCCAAGATGGGACAGCTGCAGCTAGGGGTGCAGAGGGGTGGAGGGGCCTTTGACTGAACTTAACTACAGGAGTCAGACACATAAATGAAAAAGTACTGTTTACCCCAAGCTACGGAAGGACGTGTGCTAGTATTCCAGTCATGTTTTTAAAAATACGCATAACCCAATTTTGAAAGAAAATAAATGGGCAACAGGAAAAAATTAGGATAGCCACAAAAATATTAACATTTGGATAGGATTATAATTTTTTATTTTCATGTTTTTTAGAATCTCCGTAGTGAGAGTGCACTAATGGAAAAAATTTACTTAAAATATATTTTTTAAATATACAGCTGACTACAATATAGGGTCCAGGGATCCTTCCCGAGCTTACTTTTAAGAGAAATTAATAACACCAGCAGACCTTTACCGGGCACTTACTATGGCCAGGCAGTGTTCTAAGCATCTATACAGATTATCTCACTTAACCCTCAGAGCAAAACTACGGGGTAGGCACCTATATAACCCATTTTGTAAACGGGCAATTGAGGCCCAGAGAGGCTACATAACTGGCCCAATGTCACACTGCTAGCCAAGTGGCGAATTTCAAAATAAGAACAGACCCCCAGCGTTGGCAGCAGCTAACACTTACAGAGCTCCTGCTATTCTGCAGTATTTAATATGCTCTCTGAATTGAATCCTCATAACAGCCTACAGGGTTGTTGTTGTTATTAGGTGCTGTCAGATTGGTTTCGACTTATAGCAACCCTATGTACAACAGAACAAAACACTGCCCGGTCCTATGCCATCCTCACAATCGTTGCTATGCTTGAGCCCACTGTTGCAGCCACTGTGTCAATCCAGCTCGTTGAAGGTCTTCCTCTTTTTCCCTGACCCTCTACTTTATCAAGCACAATGTCCTTCTCCAGGGACTGGTCCCTCCTGATAACATGTCCAAAGTACATGAGACGAAGTCTTGCCATCCTCGCTTTTAAGGAGCATTCTGGTTGTACTTCTTCCAAGACAGATTTGTTCGTTCTTCTGGCAGTCCATTCAATATTCTTTGCCAATACCATAATTCAAAGGCATCAATTCTTCCACCATCTTCCTCAGTCACTGTCCGGCTTTCACACCCATATGAGGCCGTTGAAAATACCAGGGCTTGGGTCAGGTGCACCTTAGCCCTCAAAGTGACATCTTTGCTTTTGAACACTTTAAAGAGGTTTTTGCAGCAAATTTGCCCAGTGCGATACATCTTTTGATTTCTTGTCTTTTCCTACGTGTTATTACAGTGGTTACTGCACAGATGAGAAAATCGAGGCCCTGAGATGTTAAGGACCCGAGCAAGGTGTCAGTGAAGTGAGCTTGTATCGCAGGGAATGAACTAGGTCAGTCTGGCTCCTGTACTAAACCGGGGAGCAGTTGCCATGAGGTGAAAAGGATGCCAGGGTAAGGCAGCCACACATCAACCACGTTCAGGAAGTGCTGTAAACTGAGCGAGAAGCATCTGTGGTGTGGGGGAAAGTAAGAACATGGACCCCGAGGCTCGAACAGAGGGTTCTGGAGGAGACTCTGCCACGGCCTTGTGGCCCTTTAATTGCTGTATCTTGAGTTTCCCCTTGGGCGAGGGTGAGAATGATACAGCTTTACCAAATAAATCCACTTCTACCCAAAAACATGCCCCCCCAAAAAGTAAAGTCACAGTCATCAGGCTCTAAAGTGACTTAATCTGATAAAATTGTGGTTCAAGTCCTAGAAAAAGAGGTTATGTATGTAATTCACCTCCTGTAATAAAGCAGATACGCAGTGCACACACCGCACCCCGAGCACTATCTAATATGAAACAACATTCCTCATCACGCAGGAGGCTGTGCCTTGAGCTAGACACAAGGACACAGGCAGCCCCGTGGCCCTGTCAGGACAACCCTGGGGGATGGTGCCTGCTCCGGGGCATGTGGGGCTTGGCTAGTCCCTTTAAAATGTTTGGACTTTCATCACGCGACAAGGGGATGCCACTGCCGAGTTGCAGAAGGGAGAATGTTCCCATAAGGTTTGTATTTCGGAAAGCATTCTGGCTGTGTTGGTGTTAGCTGCCATGGAGTCAGCCTTGACTCATGGTGACCCCACGCACAATGGAACAAAGCACTGCCCAGTCCTGCGTCATCCCCAGGACCGGTTGCAGATGGGGCTATTGTGATCCGTAGGGTTTTTGTTGGCTTATTTTCAGAAGTAGGTCACCAGGACTTTCTTTCTAGCCTGTCTTAGCCTGGAAGATTCGCTGAAACCTATTCAGCATCATAGCA